CAGCTGAACATGAATTATCTGTATTACGTTCACGTTTAGCTGTTAATGAAGGTGTTACAGCTGTAACAGGTTCAATCCTTGAATCACTTAAAGGACAATTTGAACGACGTGATAAAGTTGATATCGCAACATCACCACTTGATATATATAAACATAGTTTATTTTATCAATCATTATCTAGTCAAACATCACCAATGATTGAAACATTACCTGATATACCTGAATCAGTTGAAATACATTATGATGCTCAAACAGTTAGAAGTCCATATTTACTTGTTAAAACAAAAAATACATTTTGGATAGCTCAACCAATAGCAACAGCTGAAGCACAAACACATTTACAAAAATTTTCATCACCTGTTATGAAACGTGCCACAGTTAAATTACCGAAAACATTTGATCAAAAATTTTTATCCGATAGTGACAATGAAGATGAACAAATAACAACAAATAAATTAATTAAACAACAATCATTTGATGAAGAAAAACCATTAACAATTGAAAATGTTGAACGTTTAGAAAAAGGACATATACAAAAATTTATAAAAAATAATGAAAATAATTGGTCAACAGAAGTATTAGCACCATCAGTTGCAGACGAATCAACAAATCTTCAACAACAACAATCAGATAATACAGTAAATAATAATCAAATCTCTCCGGAAGATGAACGTTCATTTCCTGATTTAAAAGAACAAATATCTGAAATGAAGACAATTCGTTCATCATCAATTATACAAATTGAAGATCAAATGGAACAATTTGATGATAAAATTGATGAAATTTATTCAATTATTGATTATTTAAAAAATAATAAATTAACATCAACAAATTTTAATAATATACAAACAAAAATTCATGATTTAAAATTAATTATGTCTGATGTACAATTAAATAAAACGGATGAATTACGTATTGAATATGAATTAGATGAATTAGAAAATTTATATCGTACAATCAATGAAAATTTAAATAATAATAATATTCATCAAAAAGAAGAAGATTATAGTTTAATTGAATTATTTGAACAAAATGTTAATGAATTACGTCGGATTATAAATGATATTAAATCAACATCATTACAAACAAATTTAACATCAAATGATTTACAAATAATCAATGAAAATATACATCAACAAGAATCTAAATTATTAGCTGAACATGATTGGACACCGGAACAAATGGCGGAATATTTTCAACGTTCACCAGATGGAGAATTATTAACATCATCACGACAATTACATTCTCATCTTATACCTGAAGATCCAGTTATAACACGTGAAGTCTTTTTTGAAGGTGATAAATCATCTCATCAAGAAAAAAAACCTTCAATTACACACGTGACACATTTAATACCAGAAGATGCTCGAATAAGTGCTGAGAACTTTTATGAAGGTGATATGAATCGTTCATTATTTCAAAAAGAAACAGTTTCACATGAACCACCACCACCACCACTTATACCTGAAAGTCCACTTGTATCAAGTGATGTCTTTTATGAAGGTGATCCACAACGTTCAATGTTTATCGAACGTCCATCATTATCACATACTGAATCAACAGCAGCAGAATCATCATCAATTAATAATCTTCGAGATATTATGAGTGATTTAATGCTTGCTGCTTCATGGTCGAAAAAACCAACAATAATTGATGAACAAACACCAAAAGATACGGAAGAAATTCTTGCTGAATCATTTATAACAACTGAACAAAATTATCCAACATCATCACTATGTGAAATTCTACATGAAATTGAAAATTTTCCATTAACTTCAAATAAAAGATTATCACATCCAGTAGTACAAATTGAAGAACGTGATACAATATCACCATTTAGTACAGCATCACCAACTATTATACATCGAAATATATTAACTCGACAAGAAACTGATCGATGGGCACAAGATGAATTACTTACGAGTGAAGAACAAAATACTGATGATTGGACGAATTCATCAAATCAAAGAAAAGAAATTTATGGAGAACAATATCGACCGGAAAGAAAATTTAGTGATGAATTATCTGAAACAACTAAGCAACAATTAATTGCCAATGACATTGAATCAAAAGAAACTGTTCAACAACGTGATGAAGATGAACAATATCATATTGAACGTACATGGAGTACAGATAAGATATATGAACCATCAGTAAATACTTCAGATGAAGTTATTATTCAATCATCTTATGATGATAAACATGAGGAAGAAGATCAACATTCGAATCAATTTTATATTCAAGCACCTCAACAAGTCGGAACAGATCAATATCAACTTCAACAAAGATTAATTACTGATGAGAATATTATGAAACCATCGGATAAAAATGAAGATGAACACAAACTCGAACGACAGGATAGTGCTGAAGAGATTAATTTACAGTCACAATACGAGAATGAACATGAAGAAGTTGAAGAACAGTATCAACCTGAACGAAAAGTTAGTGCAGATCAAGCCATTCTTGAAACTTCTCAAAGAATCGAATCAGATCAATCTGAACCATCTTCTCCATCACAAGAACAACTTCCAATAGGATTAACTCATCAAATTCAAGAAGAAAAATCCGATGCTGAAGAAGAAAGCAAGTCTCCAAGAAAATTAAGTACTGAACAAATCGTTCCAGAACCTTCACAACTCAGTGGACATCAAGTCATGATTGAATCTTCTCCGATAATTGAACATAAAGACTATGATTATGAACAATATTCTGGTGACAAACAAACTGTGATTAAATCGGATGAAGACGTTGAAGAAGAACATAAGCTAGAACAAAGCTTCACTTTTGAAAAGAGCGATGTTCGATCTCAGCAACTCTCTGAACATGAAGATGATGATCAACCTCAACGAAAACTAAGTTCAACAAGAATTAGCAATGCATCTATTCCTGTTAGTGAACATGAAGAAGACAAAGAACAGTATCAATCAGAACCATCTTCTCCATTGCACGAACAACTTTCAACAGGATTAACTCATCAAGTTCGAGAAGAAAAATCCGATGCAGAAGAAGAAAGCAAATCTCCAAGAAAGTTAAGCACTGATCATGAAGAACAACACTATCCATTAGAACGAAAACTAAGTGTTGATGAAATTGTTACTGAGTCTTCTCCAGTCATCGAACATAGAATCAGTTCCGGAACAGCTTCTATTGATGAAAAGCACCAAATTGAACGAACACCCAGTTCAGAAAAAATCAGCATTGCATCTCTACCAGCTAGTGAACGTGAAGAACTAGAACTAGAAGAACATGAAAACCATACAATCAAACGACAATCCAGTATTGATCGTGAGGACGAAGAGGTACTAGATCAGAATCAACAAAAGATCATTACTGAAACTCAACCGGATGTTGAAATACCAGAACAAGTTACTCATACGCCAGAACGAAAACTCAGTACTGATCAAGTTTCAGTTAAAACTTCTCCAACAATTGAACATCAAGCATTTCAAGATGAACACTTTTCAACTTATAAAGAAATTGTAATACCATCTGATGAAGAAATTCACGAAGAACATCAACTAGACAAGAGTTTCACATCTGAAAAAAGTGACGAGCAGTCTCCACGAATTAGAGAACATGAAGATAGTCGACAAGCTTTTGAACGAATTATTAGCTCAGAAGAAGCTTTTGTTGAACAAAAACCTGAAGAAGAACGAAAATTTAGCTCTGGAAAAATCAGCATTGCATCGCTTCCAGTTAGTGAACATGAACATGAAGAACATAAATTAGAACGAAGTTATGGTTCTGACAAGATTGATCTTGAATCTCCTAAATTCAATGAACGTGAATTTAAACAAGATCAATTTGAAGATCTAACCAACTACAGAACAGCTCTCGTCGATGAAAAACATGATTCTGAACGAAGACTTAGCTCCGGAAAAATTAACATTGCATCTCTTCCACTTACTGAACACGAAGAACATGAAACTCAACAGCATCCACACGAAGATGAACATGAGCAAAGACCAAGCTCTCGAGCAATATCAATCACATCTCATGAAGAAATTGAACCAGAAGATACACATAAACTAACACCAAAATCAAGTATCGGTCAACTCAGTACTCACTCAGCACAACTCAGTGAACATGAAGTTGAACAAGAAACACGTTCTACACCAGAACGACAACTCAGTACCGGTCGACTCTCAACTGAATCTTCTCCAACGATTGAACATAAAGATTATCAACATGGACACTTGCCAACTCACGAAGAAACTCTAGTCAAATCCCATGAAGAAACCAAACAGGAAACACCTGAAAAAGAAGAAGAACATGTATTAGAACAAAGTTTTGTTTCAGAAAAGAGCAATGTTGAATCTTCTCATATGAGTGAACATGAAGATGATGAACATCACATCATCAGCTCGAAACAGGCTTCCATCGTACAAACACCTGAACAAGAACGAAGACTCAGCTCTA